TTTTTTTTTTTTTTGGTTTCTCCTCCCCTCCTCAATAATCAATGCACTGATCTACTCTATTATCAGAAAAGACAGGGCAAACCATGTCATTCCTCTGAACTTTTTTAAAGGTGTGCACAAAGCAAAATAATACATACATACACACAAAGATGAAAATAAACATAAATATTTGAATTTCTACAAAACAACATATACAAAAAAACAATGAAATGGCAATTTTCTCTTACGAAACAGAAAGGGGTAAACAGGGTGTAGGTAACAGAAATGGAAGAAGTGCAGGCTTTCCGAAGGACAAACTGGCAAAATGTTGTAAGTCTTAAAAGTAAGTGTATGATCTGCCTCAGTAATTCCTTTCGTTAATTTATTCTAATAAACATAAATGGATGCCAGGTATTTAGCTACAGTCAATATGACAATAGAAAAGAACAATTTTTTTTTAACAGAAACAATCGCTAAAAATAGGGAACTGGTTGAATAAAATATAGTAATGGCTTTGAGACAGCATTCTAAACAGCCGTTAATATTTTGTGAATTATGTAATCACAGGAACAGTTTTTCCTGGTTTACAGAGTAAAGGTTGGAAGGTAGAAGGCACTGGCACGTATGCCCAAATAAATTCTATAAAGACATCAAAAGAACACACGCTAAAATATCAATTATGGGAATAATTTGGGGAAAGTATTTCCAAATTTTCTACAATACAAGGAAAAAGTTAAAAGCCTTCAGTACATTCCAATTTCAAAAAAAAAAAGATGTTCGAAGTCTAATGTGGCTTGGCTAAACCACTCTCTCTCACCTCATCTACCTCACCTCAAGCCCCACGCACCCCAGAAGGCTCAGACTAAAACGTTCTGCCAAAGACATTCTCTAAACGCACACACCCCAATCGTGAAATGACCTTCTCACTTCTCGTCATGCCCCCAATCCTATATACCCTTCAAGAACCGCCTCAAACACTTCATACGTGGTCCTTCTACGAAGCCTCTTGCCCACCGTTCCTGCCCTCCTGCCCTCCCCACGCCTGCAGCCTCCATTACTTTGATCTTCTCTGGTAATGTGATTAGTTGCATCTACCTCCTATCTTCTCTGCTTGATTATAAGTTCTTTTAAAGGTACCGAACATGTCTCACTCGTCCTGCTGTTCCACTCAGGGTCCACCCAGATTACTGTGCCTTCAGTAAGGAGCTCACACATTTGAAAAATTCAATTTCAGCACTATAAATTAACATTCAAAAGGGACAAACACTTCTCTAAAAACAATACTGCAAACAACCTAAAGCCTACAGAACAAAAGACAGTACAATATTCTAGAGACATTTTTAGCACATCTTCTGTACTCTTAATCGTGTATGTATTCCAAGGCTAAATTAATATACCTTTGTTTCTGTTTTATCATGTCCACTCAAAGCAAGACAGTTAGCATCTTCGCTTGTTTCATCCTGTTTTTGAAAAAAAAAGCTTTATTCTCTAAAATGAAAAATTTAGATTACTTGCCAATCAATGCTTTAATTGATAAAAAAAATTTAATTTTTTAAAATTCAAATAAATTATAAATTATAAAATAAATTATAAAATAATTTAACCTGTAAGATCCATTATGGCCTTAAAATAGATTACTCGCTCACTTGAAAAAAAATTTTAATGTAACATATTTAATTTGGCTTCAGTATCTTCCAAACTTAAAAAGAATACGAAGAAAACTGTTACTGTTGATCAATACCACCTAAGTACATTCCCCAAAACCACGAGTTTCAGAAAATACTTTTTGTAAGGAAGAGAAAAAAAAGAGTTCTTTGATCAAATAATTTACAAACTTGAACACTATCACACCACCTCCGCCCCCTTTTTAGGAGATTCACGCATATATTGGCACATAAAAGATTCTGAGAAGTTCAAGAAGGAATACCTCTTTAGCTTTCCCAAACTTAATTAACCACACAATCCCCCTGGCTTAGTAAAACTTATTAACATCCTGAAGAAGAGTGCTTTCTTCTGGTCTTAATTTTTTAATTTATTATAATTCTATTCAAAACCAACTCGTTTCTGGTAAAGGAGGGAAAGGAGGAGTCAAAAGTTACTCTACTTTCCCGTTCCTGCAGTCACTTGCAATTAATGTCACTTTCTTAAGAAAAACTATTTTTTAACACTAACTTCTCTGCTGTATTTACTGGCCGAACTTTTAATTTTAAATGTGGCTTTAAAACAAGACATAGAAACCACAGAGCTTCTATGAGTGGGAGAGATTTAACAACAATATAAACCAATTCCAATAAGGACCTTATCTGCATCCTGCAAACATTACAAACTTAAAGAACAGTAATGTGCCACAACTGGGCAAATTTCAACACTGACTGGATATGTTAACACTTCAGAATTATTGCTAATATTGGCAACTATACTGGTGTGTGTGTGTGTGTGTGTGTGTGTGTGTGTGTGTGTGTGTACACATACAAATACACGCACACATGTGGTAATAATATACTGTAGTTGTGTTTTTAGAAGTCTTGACCTTTACTATACACAGAAATATTTCTGGCTGAAATGATATGCCTGGGATTTGCCTCATAACAATGGGAAAGGAATCAGATGTGTGGATGAAGAGGGCTGGCCATGAGGTGCTCAACTGCTGAAGCTAAGTGATATAAACAGGACTGTTCATTGTAATTTTGTTCATGTTTGAAATTTTCCGTAAGTTTAAAAATACATATATAGCATCACTGAACCATATAATCTGGGTCAAACATTTTTCTATTTTTATCTTACATTCCATTCTTACCATTTATATGTATTTGTAAAGCCTTTGCATATGATGCAAATTAAGCAGACGTAAACTCCCTGACAATTCCTGAAACCCTCCCGTCTCAATGCATGTTAGTATACTATTAAGACCTGTGGTTTCTTTCTGGTTTGCTAAAATTTCTAATATCAAGTACTCACTAACAGAGAATAAAACACCCGGTTTAGGAGAGCTTCAAAATTAGTATATTCATAACAATCCTCTGCTTTAGCACCGTGAGACTTAGCCCTGGGTTCTAACCCCAACCCTGACTTTAATTAGCTTTATAAACGGAAAAGCCACTGAAACTCAAGTTCCTCTTCCAGGAAATGAGATCAGTCTAGGAGATAACCTAAAATCTCTTTTATATTGTAAAATTGTTTTTGTTAGTCAACTCCATGGAGTTTCCATAAGCAAAACCTAGACTGTGAGAAAACCTAAGAAAACAAAACAAAAACAAAAACCAAAAACTGCAAGGAAAAAAGGGAGGGAAATCTGTATTTTAAAGAATACTTAAGGGACATCATTCAATAGCTACACAGAGATCTTACTTAGTTCCAGACTGGAACAAATAAAGACTTTTAAAGAAAAAAAAAAAAAAAAAA